AGCTTGAATGGTAACACCATCATTACAGATCAACAAAGATTTGGACTCTTCATGGATAACTTTCACAACCTTAGCTTGATGAAACTTGACACCATTCACTATGCATTTTTGCATCATTTTCGATTTCAACAGTTTCCTATTAACCCTCCCATAAGGTCTATCGAGATCTTTAGTATTCTGATCATCAATATAAACAACAGCACCTGACCACGTGGCGTCGAGGCAATCTAACAAATCCATAGCCTCAAATTCATCGACCCAGACACCATAATTATTAGGCCAAATCAATTTGGGAGAAGGATCAATTGAACAAACAGAAAGCCCTGCTTCTGAGACTTGCTGTGCAACTGCAAGCCCTGCAGGGCCACCCCCTACAACAGCCAAATCCACAACCAGCCCTTTTGAGGGGTCATATAAAGGAAGTTCAAATTCAAGATTTTCTTTCTTGGTTTCAGGAACAAGTTCCAAAATAGCACTACTACTAGCCTTAATCCAACCATTTCTACCACTCCCTCCTCTAAAGCAAGATTTTTTACAACCAAACTTGCTAAATTCTTGACTAATCTGAGGCTTCAAAGAGCTCAAGGCACTAACTTTATCAGCAAAACCACACAAGGGAGACACAAAATGAAGCTTATTAGGTGTCTTCAGCAAAATCCCCATCTTTTTCCAAGTGGGTACACTTTATTTCAAGTTATTTCAAAAGGGTCTTCACAATTCTTGAAAATACAGTCTAGGTTTCAAGAAGTCTTCTACTAGCAAAAATCATAAATTCCAAAGCCAAATATTGCATAAATCCAAATGTGGGCAACTAAAAAAATGTAGACAGTAGCTACCACCACACATAACTGAGAGAACCATGAACGAAACTGAAAAGTGGGCACTCTGCAAGCTGGACAATTGGGCCAAAAGGGAAGGAGAATATGAATACTTACAAGAGAAAGAGAGAAAAATTTAGTCAGGATTTCTCTTTTGTTGCTTTGATTTGCTACTGCAATAGGTGGTGAGGCCTCCCTGGCTGCCTGCTTGTGGTGAGCTAGTGGTGGATGATATCTTCTTTACGTTTTTACAACTTTTTGGCACCGGGAAAAGGGAGGAAATGCGTCACTATTGCCATTATTGCAGTGTTTGTTTTAGAGTGGATAATACATTTGATTTGGTTGGAGATGATAGAAATCGAAGTACGGATTTTGCACCATATCATGCACCCAGCACCCACTAACTATTTTGATGAAGAAAATGGTAAGGGTCAAATGCACTACTCCTAGTTGCGCTTTGCCCTCCACAAACTCATTTAATAAACACTTTGCCTCTCTATTTGATATTTTAAAGTAAAAGTGCCTTTGCTATTTTATTTTGTTTCTTTCTTGTTTATTCATTCCCTTTTTTTTCTTTTTCACTACTTTCTTTTATTTTTTTTACTATTTCCTTTTATTTTTTACATTTCTCATGCCACTACTTTGTTTCACTTGTATGCTTAGTGTCATATTGTAATTATTTTTACTTATAATTTATTATTGTTTTATTTATTACACTACTAAAAAAGTCAAGACAAACTGCATAACATAAAAACTGATAAATCCTTATAATAAAATAAAAAAGTATATTTTACTAGCAATTTGACTATTTAAAAAATTAGCAAACTAGAACTTTAAATTGCTTAATATTTAGAAAAGCATATAAAAAAAATAAGGTAATTAATATTTTTATTTACTTTTTAAACATATAGTTGATTAACCACTATATCAATACCACCTGAATTTGTTATCGTTGGTATTAATAATTAATTTATTATAAAATCTAGATGTATTGATTTAAGTAATATATAAAATAGTCTATGCGCATAGACAATATATACTTTGTTATAGTATAGACTTTATGATATTGTTATTTTCAATAACAAAAAGTAAAAAAATTGAAATAAATAAAAATAATTGTAGAAAGATTGAAATTAATACAGAGATAATAGCAAAGAAAAGAAAGTAGTTGATCCATGAAAAAAAGGAGAAAATAAAATAAATAAAGAACAGAGACAAGTAGAAGAAGGGCAAAAAAGAAAATAATAAGATAATAATTAATATGGAATAAACACTTTTATACTAAAATATAAAGTACGAGGGGAAGAGGGGGGAAGGAAGGGGACAAAGTACCTATTTATTGAGTTGAAAAGGAATAAAGTGTAACTGAGGGTAAAGTTTAGGAAGGTTTAATACTTTTAACCCAATAGTAAATTCTCTGTCTAAATTTGAGTGATTTCTAGTGAAAATTGTCGTATTGTGTTTTATGGCAAGGCTATTAGCATTGGCTCGTGTGTAGCGTAGCAGAAAACTACCCCATGCCCTATCCTTATTCGTTATTGAGATTTGGAGCTTGCAATCCTTTAAATATTATGAATATTCGTTGCAATTTAAATTGGCTTTCCTCCCAAAATTTACTGATGCAAGCGAGTTGGACTCAATTAAGTAGTTTGCAAGTTTGCTCAGTCAAAGTTCGAGTTTGAACTCGTATTGACTGAATTCAAGTTACTTGATAAGTTCAAACTTGAACCTAATATGTAAAGTTTGAAACCTTGTCGAGTTTAATCGAGTTTCACCTATATTTGTTTTTTTATTGATATGAAATAGTTATTTTGTCCCTTAATTAAAACTATAATAAATATATTTATATTTCTTAAACTTGATTAGATTCGATTAAGTTTAACTGAATTCAAATTAAGCTCGATTGAACTCAATTTGCATGAATTCGAGTTTAAACTCAAGTAAGGCAAAACAAAATCGAGTTTGAACTCGACTTCTTGAAAGTCGAGTGAGCTCGGAGCTCGAATCCAAACTTTTTAATTGGAGTCATGCTTTACTCAAACCTGACTCGACTTGATTCGATTGCACCACTATCAATTTTAGACGTGATTTAGTTGGACTTCCTGTCCTTTTATGTTTTTCTTGTTTTACAAATATGTGCCAAAATATGCCGGAACTTTGAAGAGTCTGCTACTTGCTGATCTTCGGTCTTGGATTTCTTAATTTATTCCAATGCAAATGTGCTAAAAAAGACCATTGCAAGTCACAAGATTATCCAGGATAAGTTCCATATGAAGGAGAATGCATAGCTAAAGAATCGAGAAACTGTTTTAGGCTATTTTCTACTTTTTCTTAACCTTTGCTTCACTCTTATCCGTGGTTTTCTTTGTTCTTTTATTTTGGCTCTCCTTTTTGTCTCAACACAGAGAACTAGCAGGGAAAATATGATACTAGAAGCCGATCGATGAAATGACTCGACTTTCAGTTTCATCCCCCTACAATTTTCCTTGAAAAATTATACCAGATTCCCTATATTTTTTCTCCATTTTGGCTTTCTTCTCTATTTTGTTGTCAATGTAGAGAAGAAGCGGGTCTTATTAGAGAAAGCATGCAGGCGGCCTTTCCTTGTGAGTGGATTGTATGTTTTATTCCAGCAGAAGCAAGTTTTAGGAAATCATGTCATTTCTTCTCGATCGTATTATTGTATCAGATATATATATAGCTAGAAACTAATAGATTTTGATGCCTTGGATTACGGTGGAGTCAGTTTCTTAGTAAAATAATAGATTTTGTAGAAATATCAAAGAAGTGAAACATATTTGGGCTTGTCATGATATCTTTTTTTGGCTTCTAAAATCATATGTGGTGTTTATATCATGAGAAGTGAGGAAATTTCTAAGTATAATGTTTGTTTCAAATCATATCATTTAGAGTTTCCTTAATTTGATGTTCAAACCATTAATATGTTCATAATTTTTTTCAGTATAATTAAACAATTAATGCAAAGATGTTTCCTTAACTTTGTTTTATGTGTATTAAGTGGCCGAACTTTTTTTTTTTTTTTCTTTTTGGTTAAGGTTAATAAAAGACCAAGAGAATTGGGAAAGGTTTCCTTATTATTAGTTTCAAAAATTTAATTGTCCATTCTAATTTTGATAAAATTAACCAATATCAAACATGACCATATTTTATTGGGTAAAAAACAAAAAAATCCCTTGTAGTAAACCTAATATATAGAAAAACATACAAAACGACATCTCATACTTTGAACTAAATTATAAATGTGATGGAATCCAATAAAATTAATGGAAATGACTTATTGGAACCTAAAAACAAAATTTTTATACCTAATTTTTAACAAATATACTTGTTCTACCCCGTAACCCCCAATTCTCTCTTTGTAGAGAATGAAACAAATGACTTTGTTAAACTGCTTTTTGCTCAGTTACATTAGGGCATTTTTGTCATTTAGTCCGTCCCCGTTAATTTTAATGGATTTTATTACCTTTACAATTTAGTTCAAAATATAAGGTGTTGTGTCGTATGTTTTGAAACCACGTGGGGCTTTTCTGTATATTAGATTTATCACAGGATTTTTTGTTTTTTACCCTATTTTATTTTGGTACGTTCATAAAAATTGAAATTAGATTGCAAAATCATAGGCAGTCTTTCCTATTTCTTGGTATGCTACGTTTGGAAGAATCTTCTAATTTTTACAGACTAAACCTAACTAATAAAAGTACATATTCCAAACTAAAGGTACTAATGCTATTTTAAACAATATCTAAACAATTAAAATAAATCAAAAAATTGAAAAACAAAAGAATGAAGACTTGGAAGCTCAACGGTGAAAAGTTGTCTTCAAACATATATATCTCGTGGTGGGAACAACGGCCATACTTGCAGTTCCACCGCCACCGCGTGCGGCGCTGTGAACCCCTGCTTGTTCCTTCTTAAAAAAAAACCCACAAGGCATTAAAAAAAAGGTGGATAGTTGATTAGTTTATCAAAGCGCGTTGAATTTGAGAATTCGAACATATGCACAATACAAAATTATCCAAATCATATTGACCCCAGTTCGTCAACTCCTGAATTATTTCCAAAACAGTAGTAATTATATGCAACTGATCTGAAAATCCATCATTTCATCATTTCATGATTCACCGGTTTGCATGACTTGGGTTATAACCATGGCTCATGTTTATGACAACTGGGAAAGGCTTGTCCGAGCCACGCTGCGGATGGAGGATCTCCGGATCACCGGTGAAAAGACTCCCAGTGAGGTTTCCTCCATATCATCATCCCTCTCATCACCTTCCTTCAATTCTAGAACTGCATCATCTTCCTTCAAATTTAGTAAAACTGCTGCTTCACCTGTGCAATTTTCATCTTTATACTTGTCCAGCTTTTTGCTGGCAGCGGCGGGACGGGCATTTGAATATGCTGAAATTCTTGAAGCTACAGATCGCTTGAGTGAATCGAATCTCATCAAGCGTGGACGCTCCGGGGATCTGTTTCGTGGTAGGTTGAGAGATAAAAGTAATGTTGTAGTCAAAAAAATTGATTTGTCTTCCTCTGTTGAGAAGCAAGAGAGATTGGTAACAGAGTTGGGAGTTTTAGGGAAGGTTTCCCATAATAGACTGGTTCCTCTGCTGGGGTATTGCTTGCAGAATAAGAACAATGATGACAGGTTTCTGGTTTACAAGTATATGCCTTACAAGGATTTGTCGAGTTTTCGTGGATTGGAGAGTGATGGTAATGACAGTTCCCAATCGCTGGATTTTGTTAGGAGGATGAAGATTGCAATTGGAGCTGCAGAGGGTCTGTGCTACCTACATCACGAATGCGTTCCACCTCTTGCTCACAGGTACCTGAAATAACTGAGCATGTTTCAGGTATACTTTTGTCTTTCAGTAGCAATATTTTGCAATTTGAGTTAATTAGGAGATTTGCTTAAATATATATATATATATATATATACATATATATACACACACATATATAGAGTTGAGATTGAAAAATATATTTCAATCATTGGGGCCTGTAATCATTTTGGCCACCCATATTTCAACCTTATCACTCTCATAAAAAACATCTATCCCTAACCACCGCCTCGTATACCCGAAAAGAACATTAAAAAAAAAAAAATTACTACAGCCACATGAAAAGTTGGAAAAGTGTTCACCCTAAAGAGATTGATAAAAAGGGCTGATAAGAATTTATTATAAATGCATTTTGGTGGCACTAGTTTTGTACTCTTGAACTTGTTTTGAATATGCATATGATAATAGACCATTGGATGGTCAAGTTGGTTGGCTTTGCTTATCAGCACTCTTGCTTAGGAAATAAAAGAGAGACCTGATGGACGTTGGTTTGAAGCCTTTGTATTTAGCATTCTATTACTTCTTTTAGTCTTCCTTATCATCTGCTTTAGGTATATTCAAAGTGATGACTCTTCTCCATTTGGTGAGTAATACAAACATGTTTTATGGTCCTGCTGACGACATTCTTTTCCCCTTCCTAAAGGGATATTCAAGCCAGCAGCATACTCCTCGATGATAGATTTGAAGTACGTTTAGGAAGCTTAAGTGATGTCTGTGCTCAAAAGTGGGAGACTGAGAGTCATAAACATATGGTTAGCAAGTTTTTGCGGTTGCCACTGTAAGTAGTCCAGATACCTCATTTCACTTCAACGTCTTAGCTTGGAGGCATGATTTTGATCCACACCTGTGGTGAGAAATTGCCTATTTTTCCTTTCCAGCTAAATTTAAAGCCAAGCTACTTTTTACTGTATAAATGTTGTTGCCCTGATACAAAGGTACAAAATGTATTATACACTCCGTTCTACTTAAGGTACTCATTTGGCTTTTAGATGATTTCCAATTGGAGCTTAGAACAGTACGATTCTTGGATCCTAGATTTTCTGAAAACTGAATGCACTATACAAGTTAAGTAGTCTTGCTGACTGTTTAATGGACACATTATATGCTTCCATTCAGAAATAGTCTAAAGAGAGGATCCAGATCTAGATGAATGTTGTGAGGTATCACCCCATCAGCAATGTAGTATGGATTGCTCTGCTATCAATTAAGATGTTCAACATTCTCGTGAAATGCAGTTTGTTTAGTGTAAATGAAGTCGGATTTCAGTTTAGTAACATCTTTGTTGACTCTCTATAAACACATGTAATAGAACCATTGAAGAACATGTTTAGTATGCCGGCTTCAGTCATATAAGCACATGTAATAGAACCATGCATTGAAGAACTAGTCTTTACTGTCATGTCTGGAACTCACTTATGGAACCATATACTAGCTGGTACTTTTATTACTTGGCATTATCTTTTTTTAATACAGTTCTCAGGTTATGAAATTGCCTCCCTTCCCTTTTAATAATTGAGACATCTAAGTTACTGTCTTCTGTAGCAGCATTCTATAGCCCTTACCAATTTGTGCAAATTGCAATGCCACTATTGCACTGCAAAACTATTCTGAATAAGGGCTCTAATAGAGGAAAATTTTCCCCCCATGCAGGAGATCTGATCAAGGTTCATCTGGTAAGTAAACCTTTCTTCTCATTGCAGCTTTTTGTTTGTCCTCCTTACTTCTTTTTCCCTCCATTTGATGCTCAGCTCTGTCATACGGTCACTGCCCAGATCAATTTTTGGTCTTTATGCGAAATTTTGCAATGCAAAATAATTGGAGGTTTTCCCCCCTCACCTAACTATTTACTTGAAATTTTTTTTTGGTTTGACATGTTCAGGTAGCCCAGAGGCTGCATGGGAGGATGATGTCTATTGCTTTGGGAAGATTCTGCTTGAGCTTGTTACAGGAAAGCTAGGTATGAGTGCATCATCTAGTGATGCTGCCATGAAGGAGTGGTTGGAGCAGACACTACCCTTGATTAGCATTTATGAAAAAGAACTTCTGCCAATAATTATCGATCCATCCTTGATCATAGACGAAGATCTATTGGAGGAAGTATGGGCTGTGGCTATAGTTGCTAGGTCTTGCCTCAATCCTCGACCTTCAAGGCGACCACTGATGAGATATGTTCTTAAAGCTCTGGAAAACCCTCATGAAGTATTGAGGGAGCCCATTGACTCCCTTCTCATCAGGGTAGAATGACTACTTCCTCAACAAGCAACAAGAAGTTTAGTGTCTTGAAATTTGGCCAAGGCAATATTGATTTGGTCAAGTTCATAGTCCATGAGTTCGATAATCGATTGGATCGGACAATAAAAAAAACTAAAAAAAATGCGAGAAAATTTTCTCTTGAGTTGATAACTCATATAAATATTTGATGGATTTAGATTCAATACAAACAGTTCCACTTAAAAAGTCATAGAAATTAAGGTAGAATCGTAAATTGCAAAATGTATAGGTCAATTATACATTTTCTTGAAACATTGAGGGGTCAAAACAAAAAAACCACTATTTCTTCTCCCTTTGCACACGGTATCTCTGTCCTTTCCTCTTCCACACATGCATACAAAACACAAATAGAAACTAGACCTCTTCTTTTCTTCGTTATCTTCCTAAGTTGTGTCTCAATCGGACTTTTTGAGTGGTTTCAGCGGGTTCAATCTCGATTCATCTCGACTCATAAATATAGCAGGTTCTATCTTGACTCATAAATTAAACTATCACAATTTGTTAAATTTTTTTTCGTGTTGAAACAATAACCAATTGTATTGATTTAAATATGAATTGAATAATCAATATTCTTCTGCTTATTCATCTTTTGAGGCTATGAAAGGATTGAATGTTGCTTTTTTTTTTTAAAAAAATTGAAATAATTACCTTTAATCTATTTGCTTTTTTTTTTTAAATAACTTTTGCCTTTCAATTTATAGCCCTCAAAGTGAATAAACACCAATATTGCAAGCATGGAAAAATCGCAAAACATTAAAATCTAGTATTTCAGTTCGCTCACTCTCTCTCTCTCTCTCACACACACACACACAATTTCCTTGTATTTTCATCATAAGTTGAATTTCCTAAACAGGCCATCTTTTTCTGCTAAGATTGGCTTTAACATGGCTTAGCTCGAATACCCAAACAAAAAGTGGAAAAATCCAATTGAAATTAGAGGTTAGCTAACTTTGGAAGGAAACGAAACCGTACAAAGGTTTCCTCGAATCGGATGGAATTTGGCCATAGAGTGCAAAAGGCAGAAAGGAGCTTGACAGCAAGACGCACCCATCAAACAAGACAAAAGCCGGCCTTAGTGGTCGGACGGTGTTGAGTGGAAACAAACGAAAAAGAGTTCGATATTTCCACAAAGAGCGTTGACTTTGAGAGCTAAAAAACACGAGTAATATATCCAAATAAAGTTGACCCCAACTCGTCAACTCCTGCATTAATCAACAGCACTAATTATATGCAACTGAAAAAAAAATTCATCATTTCATCCTTTGTATGACTTGCTTTCCCCATGGCTCATGTTTACGACAACTGGGAAAGGCTTGTCCGAGCCATCCTGCGGATGGAGGATCTCCGGTATACCGGCGAAAGGACTCCGAGCGACGTGTCCGCTATATCCCTCTTGTCATCCTCCTTCAATCTTAGTTCTACTGCTTCTTCCCCTCTCCGGCCAATTTCGTCTTTCAACTTCTCCACCTTACTACTATCAGCAGCTGGAGAGGCATTCGAGTACGCTGAAATTCTTGCTGCTACAGGTTACTTGAGCAAATCGAATCTGATCAAGCGTGGACGCTCTGGAGATCTCTTTCGGGGTAGTCTGCGAGATAACACTCCTGTTGTGGTCAAGAGAATTGATTTGTCTTCGTCTGTTGAGAAGCAAGCGCGGTTGATAACGGAGTTGGGTGTTTTAGGGAAGGTTTCGCATAGCAGACTGGTTCCTCTGCTGGGGTATTGCATGGAGAATGGGATTAATGATGACAAGTATCTGGTTTACAAGTATATGCCTTACAAGGATTTGTCGAGTTTTCAAGGATTGGAGGGTGATGATGAGAGTTCCCAATCGCTGGATTTTGTTAGGAGGATGAAGATTGCAATTGGAGCTGCCGAAGGGCTGTGCTACCTGCATGAGGAATGCAATCCACCTCTTGTTCATAGGTACCTCATGATTTTACTTTACATGTTAATTTTAGGCATAGTTTTATCTCTTTCTTTTCTTCTTTTTACTGGTTCAAATGAATGAGTAGTAATGTCTTAAATCTCCGACTGCGGACCGAACAGGCCGCAGTCAGGTCAGGGTCGAGGGTTCAATCGGTTAGAATGATAGTAAATAATGTTAAAATGATGCGAATAATAAATTAATTAAACAATTTTTAAAAATTAATAAAAGCAGAAGTTCCCAATCAACGAAGAAAACTTTTTTTTTGGCCTTTTGGACTGGGTAGCTACTGGTCAAATCTGTTGAACAGGCTAACACGGTTGATTTTAGGAAAATTGGTGAGTAGTGGTGCATTCCTAGTTTAATGGTCATTCCAAGAATTTCCTCTAACATGCTTCACTATTCTATTGGTAGTACAAGAAATTTTTGGCACTTACAATCTTTCTAAAACAACATGGGGTCACATTCAACAAAGTTTTTCAATTTTGCTGCAACTTTTCTGCAATCTGCACTCATCAATTCGTGTAGGATGTTTATTCAACGCACCATTTGATGAAGTCCATAAAGCGCGTTGAAAATATATATTGGAACTGAAAAAGTGTTTCAATTATTGCGGCCTGTGATCATTTTGGCAGCTAATTGATAATCCAACCTTGTGACTCTATCACCTGAAATACCCCGGGGAAAAAATTGCTACAGCCAGACAAAAGTTGGGAAAGTTTGACCTTAAACAGATTGATGAAAAGGGCTGATAATATATTATAGATGCATTGTGGTGGCACTTGTTTTGAATATGCACATGTTAAGAGTGTTGGATGGTCAGGTTGGTTGGTATTGATGCTTTCTTGCTTGGAAAATCAAAAAGAGGGATATGATGGATATTAATGGCTTTGTTTAGATTGAAGTTTTCTAATGAAAAATATTTATATTTTTCGTGTTTATATTTTTTAATCATTTTAATTCATATTTATTAGATCGTTACAATATATTCTTAGTTTGTGAACTTTGCATTTGGCATTCTATAATCTTCCTTAACATATGCTTTCGGCATGTTCAAAGTGATGACTGTTATCCCTCGCTAACACACCTTTAGGATAGATGGATTTCTTGTTGGGGAGCTACTTGAATTTTTCGATTATATCCTTGTAGAAATTAGACTTTGTCCTCCAAGATTTTAAAAATCTTTTTTATCCTCTTAAAAAAGAAAGAAAGAGTATTTTCACTTATATCCTGAAAAATTAGCCTTTGCCCCGGCCCCAAGTCTTTTGCAAAAATGCAAGACAACCTTACTAGTCTTGTCCCCAAAATCTGAACTCCTCTTCTACCATTGTGAGCGGGGATTCTTTTTTGTATGATTCTATAGAATATCTTTTTTTCTACAAGGCCTTGTTTGGATTGTGATTTTCTGCTAAAATTTTTTTATATTTTTGTGAATATATTTTCCAATCACTTTTTTACCTTACATGTATCAAATCAAATCGTTACAATATATTTTCTTACAAAAAAAATCCTAAAAATTCCTGTTGATGATATTCTTTTCTTATTCCTGAAGGGACATTCAAGCCAGTAGCATACTCCTCGATG